ACATTCCAAGGGGTACTCTGAAAAGTTTCTGAAGAAAGGTGGGGTCTCAGAGGGCTTGGGGTTCTTGGGGCAGGAAGGGGTGCCTGGTGCATGCAGCCAGTGGGGAAATCATCTCCCCAATGAGCAGGCAACACACTGGTTGCCTGAAGCTCACTCTGCTGGGGCTCAAGACATGGGAGCTTGTCTAAAGCATTCTAAAGTTTTTGGCCTCGTTGGCTTAAGGAAGGATATTACATCAACTATTTCTAGCCAATTTCATCCCAGGGAAGAGAGGTAGGATGGTCAACTATCAGGAGAGGGGTGACCTACCCAAGCCGAGGGGAGGTCTCTCTAAAGTAAACTGTGGTTCCAAACCACTGTGAACTGAGCAGATCTCCTGTAGCCTGTGTGTCTGCTGTCTGTTTAGGTATTGTTTCTCCAAATATCTAAATGTGGTGATAACGAGGGAGCCCGTGTAGCCTGTGTGTATTCTGTTTAGATATTGTTTCTCCAAACTGTGGCGATAACAGGGGAAGCACTTCGTAAAATTACAAATTTTATTATTGTTGAGTCTGCTGTCACCGCTCCCTGTTGCTTCGATTGGCTGATTGGGACAGTGTGGGAGGCGGAAGCAGTGCCCTCCCACGGGGAACCCTCTCTCATGTAGACTTTTTTTTTTTTTTTTTTTGAGACGGAGTTTTGCTCTTGTTACCCAGGCTGGAGTGCAATGGCGCGATCTTGGCTCACCGCAACCTCCGCCTCCTGGATTCAGGCAATTCTCCTGCCTCAGCCTCCTGAGTAGCTGGGATTATAGGCACGCGCCACCATGCCCAGCTAATTTTTTGTATTTCTAGTAGAGACGGGGTTTCACCATGTTGACCAGGATGGTCTCGATCTCTTGACCTAGTGATCCACCCGCCTCGGCCTCCCAAAGTGCTGGGATTACAGGCTTGAGCCACCGCGCCCGGCTCTCGTGTAGACTTAAGCTGCCTCTGCTGCCTGTGCAGAGGCTTCCTGCCTGATTTGGATCTGTCTTCAGGATGAATGACTTCCGGGTCAGTGAGGCACTATTTTATCTATTCATAAGAGAAGGAAATTATTTTTCGCAATTAATAGGGAACATGGGAGCAGGATGGTCAGAGAATTGAAATACTGACTACAGCTTTGCCTGTCCCATGTGTTCCCCATGGAGTTCAGTTTCTATCTTGTATTTTTTTTTCTTGGTTTTATTTTAATTTTCTCTCTTAATTTATTTTGAATGACAACCAAACACACACACACATACACACACACACACACACACACACACACACACACACACACACATTCCAAACTAAAAGCCAACAAACAATTACCCAACTCAGGAAAGCAACCTATCAATTCATTAGGAAGTAACTAGTTACTCAGCTATTTTAATTGACTGAATTAAAAAATTAGGCTACTCAGGCATCTAACACAACTGACAAATTTGGGTCAGTTTAAAGCCTGTGATGACAGATGGAAAGGCCAAGAATGAGGCCGATATGGGCTGTTTGGGGGAGAAAGGCCGGATGTTGGCACTCAGGGAGCCAGAAGAGGAGGCTCGGTGGGGACTTCTGGGACACAGGCATACAGCAGTGGGAGGGCACTGAGACCTGGCCAGGCGGGGGTGTGGGCTGTGTCCTGTGGGGGGTGACAGTGTGATCAGCAGCATCTCATGAGGGTAGAAACCCAATGATTACCATATCACCCTCATTTAACAGATGAATACTGAGAGCCTGAAGGTTTAGGAGACTTGCCTTGAAACACCTGGCAAACACAAGCTGGGAGGACATCTATCCAGACCTGGAAGTCCATAATCCGGTCTCGTTTCCAAAACTTGGTAATGCAGAGAAAACGTGAGGGCTCAGGGACTGAGCAAGCATCACTGTAAAGCTGTGCGTGCCAGGAAGCATTCCTAAGACGGTGCTTTCTGCAGGTTCCTTTCCTGCTCTGGCCCTGCCCTGCCCAGCCTCCTCCCAAGGCTCCTGCTGGGTTGCTGAATGGCTTCCATCTAGTTGGCTGCCAAACCCACTGCTGAGAATGTTTTCTCTGCTCCTTGAGGGACATGTCTTAACTTCTCCACTTCTGAGCACTAGGAACTTGTGCCCACTCTGAATAGCAGAAGCTTCTATTTTTAATCCAGGCAGCCTTCACAAACAGTGCAGCCCCCTACACCCTGAGATGGACTCCTTCCCATTTTCTGTTTTCTTTTGTTTATCTGAAGCATCCTTGGAAATTTTACTAATTAATTTCTCTTCTATAATCTGTTTTCAGACAGCCTGCAGAGCCCATGTTTATCACCACCTGTTACTAAGTTCTACCAAAAAGTGTTTTTGAGGGATAGAAGGTACTTAGAGAGCAGCTAGGTTCAGAGAGGGGACGTGCTTTCTGAAATGTCACACAGCTATGAAGGCATGAGAGCAGAGCACAGAACTCCTGCCTACTTAGTAGTCTTGGCATTTTAAAAATATCTATCTGCCTTTATTTGTGAGAATGTTTTTGGCTTCAAGGAAGTGACCATGTAACTCAACGTTACTAGGGGTCTAGAGGCAGGGTGGGCTCTGGGGTCATCTTTTTCTGTGGCCCCAGCTCCAGTTTCTCCCAAAAACCATTGGATGCATCCTCTTTGTGCTCCAGCTTTGTCTTAGCATCACTTCCTTCATGTGGCAAAACTGCTGTTAGTCCCTGCTCAGGACATCCCAGAAAAGAGACAGACAGCACCCCAACATTCCAACAGTCTTGAAACCCTCCCTGATTGCACCCCTTCAGCCACATACCCCTCCCTAAACAAGGATCAGGGCAGAAATTCCCACCTGCACTGATTGGATTAGGTCTAGCTCCTGAACCCACCAGTTGCAGGACAGTTGAGATGCCCCTGCACCAATCAGGGCCTCCTTTGGAGCTTGGCAGGGCTTCCGTCCCTGAGACACATGGGCTGCCTGAGAGAAGGGTATATTGCTGAAAAGAAGGAAAAGAAAGAGAAGAAGAAGAGAAGAGAAGGAGAGGCAGAGGAGAGGAAGAGGAGGAGGATCTATTGGGAAGCTGGGAGGGTGGATGCTTAGGAACAATGACCAGTATTCACTAGAACTTTCCAATACTATACTACAAACTCCTTGAAGACCTTTGCTGTCATCAAGGCTCTATCCACAGTGCTTGGTGTAGACGGATTTGGGCATGAAGAACCTGGAAACAGGGGACACTCCTAGGTACAGGCCTTACCTGGTGTTCATTCTTCTGTTCATTCAGTCAACCAGAAAGAGCCAGACATGGGAATTTAGCTGTGCAGACCCTGCTGGTGGCTGGCCCAGTTACCCTTTGCTGGTGCTGCTGTGAGGGCTGGTTGCTGACAGCTCACAGCAGCCCTCTCCTCTCCAGGAAAATGCCCTTGGCTGATAAGACCTAAGTGACCCAGTTATGCACCATGACCTGCATCTAGGGAACAGATCACAGCCACCAACTGACTGATTCTGTCCATCAGGTCAGCCTGGAGAGCCCTCCTGCTGTGGACCAGGCCAAGGCTAGATATCACCTTGGCTTCTTCCCTTTTCCATCCCACTCCCCTCACTTCCCTGCAGGCTACTGCTGAGGCAACAGCCTCAATACATAACATGCGCCTAAAGCCCCATCTCAGGTTCTGCTTCTAGGGAACTCAATCTAACACAACCATGAATAGCCTTTACTGTGGACAAGCTCACTATTACCTATGGATTACAGACATATAAGATATAAATTACAGGAAGAAAGCAGACTAAACGATATAGCAGATGCCCAAGCAAAGAAATCTGCCTTCATTTTACATATAAATTGGCGTAACCATTATTGACAGCAGTATGTCCAACCAGAGAAATCAAGAAGCTTTCTAGGCCAACATGCTTTTGGCATCTCTCTGTAGCATTGGGGCTGGAGATAAAGGGAAAACAGTAACTCAAAGTCTTGTCTCCCGGAAACTCACAATGGCATTGGAAGATGTGAAAGCTGAGAGGTGGGTGAAATGAGTGGCAGTCCAGAGCCAGGCAGACCTGGCTGCTCCTCTCCCACAGTGCCGTCCCCATTCCCTCCCTGGGAAACATGTAGGGAAGAAGGTTTTCTGGAGACCTGGGTCCTCCTAGAATATCTACCACCTAGGGAACCTATGAGCTTAAACAAAGGGCTTGATCTCTGCAGATTAGTCATGATTCTTTTGGCTGAAGGGGAAAAAAATTTCAACTCAAACCAACCAACTCTAAAAGGGAAATTTATTGGCTCTTACTCTGTGGCTGCAGCCTCTGATCAATGAACAGGGTGTTTCCAATGCTCACCTTGAGATCCTGGGTATTCTGGTTCAGCTCACGAATGATATAATGGAAGCCCTCATGAAGATCTTTTTCTGGCATGTTTCTGAAGTTGGAAACATGAAGGTGCATAGTAAATTGAGGTAAAGCTTAGTCCAGGAATTCCGAAGATGTGTCAGTCCCTTTCCATCTTTCCACCCCCCTCTATCTGTCTCCTCTCCTTCTGCATGTGGACCCCATGGCCACATTCAGCTTCTGGGCTACGTCACAAAGCCAACTGCCCCAAAGTTTAGAGAGTGACACTGATTGGCCTGATTTTGGTCACACTCTTATCTTTAACCAGCCAATGTGGCAAAGGAAAGAAGTATTATGTTGACAGGTCTGGGCCACATGCCTACACAACGGGGTATCCTCACTGTGGCCCAGTGGAGGGGAGAAGTTCCTCAAAGGAATTGAGACGCTTTCCATAAAGAGGGCACAAAAACAAAAGATGTCTTCTGCATTCAGTCCTCCTATTTACAAAATGTGGAAAATCATTTCTAGTCCCCAGGGTGATGATAAAGGTTAAATGCTATTTTAAAAAGACAAAGCACTCAGAAACTGCCATGTACAACACACACTAGTCACTCTATTTCTTCTTTCATCCGGTCTTCCTCTGGGTTACATGTGGGCAATGGGGTTATCATGTTCTTTTTTGTTGTTGTTAACCTCAGGTCTACTACTCAACAGGATAGTCTTCAAGGAGAATGAACCCCACGCTGGGCCTGGCCATTTTTCTGGCTGTTTTCCTCACTGTGAAAGGTTTCCTGAAGCCAAGCTTCTTGCCAACCAATTATGAAACTTTGAGCCAGGCCCAAAGGCAGAAGGAAAGAATGGCAGCCAAGAAGCTTACAAGGCAGAACATGGATTTTGGCTTCAAGTTGCTTAAGAAGCTGGCCTCTAACAACCCTGGCAGGAACATCCTTCTATCCCCCTTGAGTATCTCTACAGCTTTCTCCATGCTGTGCCTGGGTGCCCAAGACAGCACTCTGGATGAGATCAAGACGGGGTTCAACTTCAGAAACATGCCAGAAAAAGATCTTCATGAGGGCTTCCATTATATCATTCGCGAGCTGAACCAGAATACTCAAGATCTCAAGGTGAGCATTGGAAACACCATGTTCATTGATCAGAGGCTGCAGCCACAGAGTAAATTTCTGGAAGATGCTGAAAACTTTTACAGTGCTGAAACCATCCGCACCAACTTTCAGAACTTGGAAAATACTCAGAAGCAGATCAATGACTTTATCAGTCAGAAAACCCATGGAAAAATTAACAACCTGATCAAAACTATAGACCCTGGCACTGTGATGCTTCTTACAAATTATATTTTCTTTCAAGGTAAGGCTTTTGGCATGTTGGTGTGGAAAGAATAGGATGACCTTTAGACTTGGGTTAAAAACCTGGGTTGGCCACTTGTTTGCTCTGTGATCTTGAATTCATATGTGATTTATCTCTCAGAATCTCACTTTTTCTATCTGTAAAGTGGGTACCATGATACACAACTCATCACACAATTATTGAGATTTAAAGTGAAAATATATGTAAAATGAGCTTTATGCAGTCTATCATTTTCATTATTGGTGAGTATTCTAACACAACATTGATTATACAGGTTGGAATGATGTTTTATTCTCATCTCTTAGATGAGAAAAAATTCAGAGAGAGATTGATTAACTTACTACAAAGCCCATCAATGAGAGTCAGGACTGGAACCCATTTCTTCTGACCCTAGCACTGTGTGCTTTCCACCACTCTAATCAGACACCTGAGATGGTGATTATGTTGATTATGGTGATGGTGATTACTTGGTGGGTCTCCTTATAAAGTCTCTTTATCAGACTGAAAAAAAAAACGGTGGAAGAATCTTTTCAAATTTCAGCTTTATCCCCTAACACCACACAGAACACATGTACACAGACAGATTGGCCAAAATAGGTGAGAATCAGAGGCCAACACCCATCAGTCCAGACAAAATCACTGCTGGGATGTCAGCAACATGGTATTAAATATAAAAAATTGAGGGTTCTCAAAATCCACAGAGAGACTGATGGCTAAAGAGAAAAATAGGTGACCAATGACAGTCTAAAATTTCAGTCTGCCCAAACCAGAGAAGGAAAGAGGAGAATCTTGAATTTCCTGAAATCCCTATGTCCCCTACATAACAATAAGAATAACAGTGAAAAGAATGCTGCTGCCAATGACTAGCACCTACTCAACACTCACTATACACAGGCACTGAGCTGTGCTGCCTTATCCCACTACATGTCAAAGCTGTCAATATCCTCACTCTACAAATAAAAACACTGAGGTTCAGGGAGATTGAGACACTTGTCCAGGGTTAACCCTTGATAACCTTCTGGACAGGCAGATAGAACAGTGAGGCCAGGATTTGAACTCAGGGAGTTGGCCCTATAATGGGGACTCTGAAGTAGCAGGCTTGAAAGACCTAGGTCTGAGTCTATGCCCAATAGGTCAAGGTATCTTCAGAGTCCAGGCACCCAGGCTTCAGTGTTCACTGCTCTTTGGTAAGCTCCAATGGCAGCCTGTTCCACCAGTTTTCTTAGTCCCACATGAGAGCAGCTCCTTCAGGGATGACTCAGATTAGAATCAAGCATTTTTTCTCACAACAAACTCAATTAGTCCTCATTAATTGTAATGCAATCCCCTTTGTTAAGACATAATCTATGGGCTTTCTCAGGCTCAGGGGAACCTGGGATTATGGCAGTCTGATGTTCCTCTCTTAATTCACCAACCTAGTCCTGGCTTCTTTTGGGGACTAATAATTGCACCTGAGCCCATCTTATCAGAAGCCTCCAGGACATGGCATAAGGGCAAGGACTTCCCTGATATCCCAGAATATCCCCCTTTACCATGAATCTGTGTGAACAGAGACCAGTGGTTAGTTGGATTTAGTCACCTCTTTTCCCTTGGGATAATCATGTCATCTTGTCTTTCTTCAATCTAAGGCAAGTGGCGACATGAGTTTGATCCAAATCTAACTAAAGAGGAAGATTTCTTTCTGGAGAAAAACAACACAGTGAAGGTGCCCATGATGTTCCATAGTGACATGTACCAAGTTGGCTATGATGATAAGCTCTCTTGCACCATCCTGAAAATACCCTACCGGAAAAATATCACAGCCATCTTCGTCCTTCCTGATGAGGGCAAGCTGAAGGACTTGGAGGAGGGCTTGCAGGTGGATATTTTCTCCAGATGGAAAACATTACTGTCACGCAGGTAAAGAGGGTGCCTAGGCCTTGCAGCTTTTTCCTTCTCCCTGTCTTCCCTCTTATTTCTTCTATCTGAGCTCTTACCTTATGGCCAAGTTCTCTTCTGGGCTCTATAATAAACTTGTATTATGGTGGGAAGTGGATAGGGGAATAAGTCACATGAATAGAGTGAAGTTCTTGGCTCTTTGAGGGAGATGCATCAAGACTGTGAGAGCACAGTAGATGGAGTCTTAGTGGATGGAGGGCAGTGGTCAGTGAGGACTTCATGAGGATATTTGTGCCAAGTCTTCAAGGTTGAGTGGCAGTCTGTATGAAAGGGGGAGGAGCAAAGGAAACTTCAAGGACAAACAGGGGCTATAAAAGGGGGCTGTGAGTTGTTTGCTGTGAGAAGAATGATGTTGTCAACTGTGGTGTCACACTAAAACCCATGAAGTGTCCCGAGTAAGTTACACGAATAATAGTTGAAGAACCAAAGGGAGTTAAGTATTTTTTTTAAAAAACACAAACTGAGATTAGATTAATGCCAAGCCTACAGAATTCCTTCCAGGTACTTGCTTATTGACAGATTTGGGGGAGAGAGGTAAGGGTTGATGTTGGGTTTTACTCTTGGGGACAGAGTGTCAGCATGGACATACATGGTGCCTTAAAAGTGGCTGGGATAGTGGCCTCTGGTGGCCAGAGCAGTGAAGGTGATGTAGCAGAGTGGGTAGCTTCCACTTGGACAGGTGTCAGATGGCTGTGTTCTTCTCGTTCCCTCTTTCAGCTTTCCCCTGTCATCATTCCCCATGCATCTCCTTAAAGGTGTTTGCTGAAAAATTCTGACACACCTGATGTCCTATCAGGCACCAAGGACGGTTCCAGAAGAGGTAGAGATGATGCCAGGACTGAGCTTGGCAACTCATGGGTGGTGACTGAACTTATGCAACTCCTTTCACAGAGAACATGGCCTTGGAGGCATCATTGCAGAAGGCATCTCTGATATCTAAAGTGAGCTGCAGGCTTAAGAAAGGGAAATTCTGATTCCAAATGCTTCCAATAAAGTCACAGTTCTGGGAGTGGGGGAGTGAAGTGGCACAGCATCCCAAGAGCACTGCCATCCATTGATATTGGCATAGCCTCACCTGCCCCTCCCATTGGGAATGAGGGAGCTACAAGGGTTGGCAGGGTCTGGCCACTAAAACAAAAGGAAGGGTCCAGATTACAACCTTTAGCCGAAACTTGGTCTTCCCTTCTGTGGTGTGTGGTCATACTCTTGCCAACATCACATTTATTCAAGAGAATAAATGTGCCTTAACACAGCATTGCCCCACAGAAAACACACCCAAATGTGAGCTCCTCTCTCCTTCTCCCTCCCATTGGCTGAAGAGGCAGAGTTCCAGGGTACCCCAGCAGAACTTTTGAACCTCTGGTTTACTGAATGGCAGGTGTCCTGCACATCTGACCCTTTTACCCTCAGGTTGAAGCCCTAGGGCAGCTGCCTTTCCACTGAAGATGTTCCCAGTGGGAAGGGCAGGTGAGGCTGTGCAGATCTCAAGGGATGGCAGTGCTCTTGGGATGCTCTGTCACTTTTCTCCCCTATTCCATAAATGTGACTTTTTTGAAAGCATTTGGAACCAGAATTTCCCTTTCTTGAGCCTGCAGCTCATTCTAGATATCAGGGATGCATTCCGCAATGATGCCTCCAAGGCTGTGTTCTGTGTGAAAGGAGCCGCATCGGTTCAGCAAATTTACCACCAACAGGATGTCCCATTTTGTCCTTTAACATGGGGACATTCCCAAAGGGACTGACATGTTTCTGCCTGCACTGTACAGAGTTTTAGAGTTCACAGAGATGGCTTTGGAGGCCTCCCTAGGAAATTGGGGGGTGTAGAAAGTGAAAAGAAGGTGAAAAATGGGAGGGATACCAGATGTTCCACCTCACTTCATCCAGAATTCCTGGCTTTGTGAGACTTGGACTCCAGAAGATGATGTTTCCTGTAGGACTCAGATTACAGTGGCTTGAGACCCTGCAGTTGCTTTGCTGGAACTCGGCGTCCTGAGTGCACTCTACCCCCATCTCCAAGCCATGTCTGACAGTTTCCTACAGGGCTATAGCTCAGATGTTGCACTGAGGGTTTCACAATCCCCTCGCAGAGGCCCTCTGCAGCCTATGCTGCTGTGACCACCATCAGGCCACCACCAACCACACAGGGATTTTCCCTGGGCACTGCCACCATCTCTTTGGCTTCAGGCTTCATCTCATTTTGAACCTTTACTCAAGAGTGGAATAGAACCTTCAAGATTTTCTGTAGGCTAGCACCAGCCTTCCTGGAGATTTGGGAATAACACAACTAAGGCTCTTCACAGGGACTCAGGATAACTTAGAGTCCATGGAAGTGGCATCTTATGAAGTCCAAGTGCAGGCTGCTCCCAGGCTGTCTTCCAGGGCACTTCCTTCCATTTAACTAGTGCCTAGGCTGCCTCCCCCATCCTTCTGGGACTGCTCCCCACATCTCCATGACTTGAGGCCAGGCCTCCCTGCCAGGAGAGTCATGGAGAGGAAGGTTCCTCTCACCCCAGTGATCTCTGGCCTCCCCAATCACTTCTAGTCTTGAAATGACAGATAGGTTAATAATGTCCACCTTCCTGAGAAGAAACTCCAAATCCTCTTGCAAGACGGGGCGGGGCGGGGGGGGCTTGCCCACAGTCCCCAGGGAATTACATTTTGTCAGAAAATGTTCCTACTTTCTGAGCTCATTATGTCTGGGAGACAAGTGGTTAAGTCAGTTTGATCTACAGATGGAAAGCCTAGTCCAGACACCTCAGTGGTCTCCTATGGGAGAGCAGAGGTGGCTGGGCTATCCCTGTGCACTCTTTCTGCACTTCCCTCCAGACTGTAGGGCCTAGAAGACACTGAAGAGAAAAATCACCTTTTCCCTAAAAAGAAGTAACCAAGTCCACAGACACACCCCAACTTACATGCGGGTAGAATATGTCAGCATTTAGGCTTCAGAGACTTCCACCTGGCCTCTGTGCAGGAGGCAGACACCTGTTTTGGATTTGCATAATTTGAGGCCACCTGCTGTTCTGATTTCCCCAGAGGAAAAGCTCTATTTCCCAGGATCCCCCTTTAGGAGTAGAAAACTGCTGGTGGCTTTGAAATAGCCATTGTCCTGCTCAGCAGTGTTGAGGGTCCACTCCCAGACTGGGTGCCCCGCATACACTTTTCCGTACTTATTGGTATATGTGCTCTCCTGCCAGCAGCAGCTGCGTTTAGCACCTTCCTACGTTGGCACAAACTAAAGTCAATCTCCCCACTTGTGCACTGGACCTGTGGCCCCTCACTACTCAGGAACGTCACCCTAGAAATCCTCTCCTCTCTTTGCCACATCAGCATATATTTTTCTCTCTTCTGAATCATTTCTATCAGTTACAAAGATGCTCTTATCTTTTCCATCATGAAACCTTGCAGGGGGCCAGGGATAACTTACAGTTCATGGAAGTGGCTTCTATGCAAGAAGACGAAGCCGGTGTCTGCCTTCTGTGCATTCCGCCCTGTAAGGCTTGTGCTGGCCTGCAGGAAATCTCAAGGCTATTATTTTTCCAAAACAAAAGCTTCTCTTGACCTCTGCTTTTCCCCAGTTATTCCTCCATTTCATCACTGCCCCTTTGCAGGTGAATACCATGAAGCAGTTGCCTCTATTCATGGCCCCTAGTCCCTCTCATCCCCTCCTAAGCCCACTGTAGTCCAGCTTCTGTGCCCGCTTCTCATGGAGAGCTCCCTCCCCAGGCACCAAGAGTGTCTGTGTTGTAGAGTGCAGTCAGTCTCAGGCCTCGTTTTTGGGCCGGCTGGTGTCCCCACCTCCTTAAGGCGCTCTTCTCTTGGCTTCCACCTCTCCACTCTCACAGCGCCTCCCGCCTCTCCCCTCCTCGGTCTCCTTTGCTGGAGATCCCTCTCCTCCTCCAGGTCTCAGAGGAGAGTGTCTCAAGGCTCAATCCCCAGCCTTCTTTTCTGTCTATCCTTACCCCTGAGTGAGCGCACAGGCTCAGAGCTTTAATACCACCTCTATTACCACGACTGCCACGCTTCTAGTTCCAGACCCTGTTCTCCCCCAAACTCCAGAGTCATGGATCTTTCTGTTTACCCAGAGTCCCCACCGAATGTGCAATTGGAGCTTAGTGTTGACACATCAAAAATAGCATCCTGATCTGTCTCCAGTGAAGCTCTCCAAGCTTGCCCATCTCCGTCAATGGCGACTCCATCTTTTTAGTTGCTAAACCCAAAAACCCTGGAGTCACCCTGACCACTTTCAAATGCCTCATTCAGTCTGTCAGGAAACCCCTTTAGCCTGCAGCAAGCTACATCTGGAATTTGTGCTTCCCCATCATCTCTATGGCTCCCAACATCTGACGACCACACCCGCTTCCGAATGGTCTCCCAGCACCGATTTTTGCCATTCCCGCTTCACACACATCACCACCACATGATTATAAGAGTATAATCTTGATAAAGGAGACAGAATGATCTTTTCAAATCCTAAGCAAGACCATGTCACTCCTCTGTTCAAAACCCTACAGTGACTCCCCATTTTCTTTAGAAAAAAAACTCCCTTGCTTGCCTCAAACTTTGCACAAACCTAGGCCCCATCCTTGATTCATGCAAGTTGATCTACTGACATTTTTCCATGGCACTTACTGCCTTCCGCATACTACCAGCATGTGTATGTTGGCTTAGGTGGTACTTGTTGTGTTGATTCTATCACCTGTCTTCCCTGCTAGAACACACAGTCAGGGGCAGGGAGCTTTGCCTGTTCTGTGCATAGATGCATCTCCAGCACCTAGAACAGTGCCTGGCATACAGTAGGCATTTAATAAATGTTGAGTAACTGAATGAGTGGAAAGGTAAATGTGAAAGTCTTTGGGGCTGTCGATATTGAAAGCTATGAGACTGAATGGCATGCATGGGGAGGGAGTGAAGGTAGAAAAGAGAAGGGGAACAAGGTCTGAGCCTCGAAGTAGCAGCCTAGCCGGTAGAGATGGGAGAGGTGGAGCCAGACAGGGGCAGGTGTCAGGGGAAGGAGGGGGAACCTCGAGGGGCGGGCTCGGAACGCTTCACCCTGGAGAAAGGGATGACTGTCAGGTGCGGCTCGCTGAGAGTCAGCTCTGGGACATGGAATGCTGGGCATCAACAGGGGCTCTGGAAAGAGTTGCTTTGTCGAAAGTTGATGTCAAAGAGCTGACTGGAGTGGACTGAGGCAATCATGGGAAAGAGTGGAAATAACTGGCAGAGACGACCTCTGCTATAAAAGGAAGAAAAGAAATGAGCTGGAAGCTGAATAGGCTATTCAAGGCCGAGAAAAGTCTCTTGATGTCAGTTGTTGAGGAGAGGGTCACTCTAGCGTGCGGCCTGCTCCAGAGGAGGACCAAAGGGCCTCTGTTTATGGGTGATACAGGAGAGAGAGGACACATAGGCAGGAATGAGGTCCTTGGGTAGGTGGGAAATGAGGTGCAGGGCCAGCCAGGCAAACAGGAATCCGGCCTGCAGGTACCTCAGGAGCACCTGGCCCTAGGCGCCAGGCAGGAGGCTGATCGGTCCAGCCACAGAGGATGTGGAGCTGCTGGGTGGAGGGCAGCGGGATGGATGCCTGCTCTCTGCTAAGCACCACCTGTCTGCTGAGTGCCTTGTCTGCATTTGCCTTAGCACCCCTAGTGAGGTATTGATGATCCTCTTCCTTCTCGCACAAGTAACTTACAAAGGAAGCTCACTTGCCCCAAGTTGCAGAGCTCATGAGAGCCAGCATGGATTTGAACTCAGTGCTGTCTAGCTCCAGATCCTGGGTGCTCTGCTGCCTCCAGTGTCAGGTCTTCTGGGGTCAAGATGGGCTCCAGGCTCAGGCATGGCAGACTACAGTGAGGACATCTTCAGGGACTGAAGTCTTCAGGGCGCTGAGGCGCCCGGATACTTGGGGGGACTGAGAATACACCCTGCAGATGAGGGCCCTAGGGAAGATGTGCTGGGAAGCAGGAACACAGTTCGAAGAGCATATGGCGTTTTGAAACCAGAGTCCCAGGGTTAAGGAGCCCTCCTCATTCTGTGGATGGAGAGAGATTGGAGACCTTCGGGGCTGGAGGACATGTGTTTCATTCCTCATGTGTCCTGAGGCTTGCCCTGCGCAACAACGGGGCTCGACCACTCACCCTTGTCATGTCCATTTCCCAGGGTCGTAGATGTGTCTGTGCCCAGACTCTACATCACAGGCACCTTTGACCTGAGGAAGACCCTTTCCTACATGGGTGTCACCAAAATCTTCGAGGAGCATGGTGATCTCACCAAGATCTCCCCTCGTCGCAGCCTGAAAGTGAGCGAGGTAAGCCCACCAGGCCTGGACTCCACTCCTGGAGTACAGGGGCCTTCGCCCAGCCCCGGGCCAGACCCAGGGTCACAGTGGCTGTCAGGGCCAGGACTCTACCCCCCAGGTGAGGCGGCTGTGAATCCAGCCCTGCCCCTTACCCACCCTGTGATCCCGAGAAAAACACATAACCCTTGCCAGCCTCATGCTTCCAGGCTTTCAAACTGCTGCTATTTGGGAAACCAATTCAACGAGGCAAACGTTGATCAAGGCCTAGAACAGTTATCAGACCTAGAACTGGTCTAGGTCTGACCCAGACTCTCTCTCAAAGGCCACACATTTCTTTTCTTTTTTCTTTCTTTCTTTCTTTTTTTTTTTTTTTTTTTGAGACAGAGTCTCACTCTTGTTGCCCAGGCTGGAGAGCAGTGGTGCATCTTGGCTCACTACAACCTCCACCTCCCAGGTTCAAGCGATTCTCCTGCCTCAGCCTCCCAAGTAGATGGGATTACAGGCACCCACCACCACACCGGGCTAACCTTTTTGTATTTTTAGTAGAGACAGGGTTTAGCCATGTTGGCCAGGCTGGTCTCAAACTCCTGACCTCAGGTGATCCACCCACCTCGGCCTCCCAAAGTGCTGGAATTACAAGCGTGAGCCACCGCGCCCAAAGCCACACAGTTCTTAAGCGTTAGCAGTAAGCACATGCTGCATAGGAAGAGATGGTCAAGCAAAGGGCCCTGTGATCTCTGGCAAAGGTGAGCACCTGACTGTCTGGGGTGAGAAGAGAGCACCATACAGGTAGGGTCACCAGATTTAGCAGATGTAATACAAGGTACCCAATTAAATTTGAATTTTAGATAAACGATGAATAATTGTTTTAGTGTCAATATGTTCCAAATATTGCATGGGACATACTTACACTAAAACATATTCATTATTTAACTTGAATTCAAATTTCACTGGATGTCCTGTATTTTACCTGGCAACCCTACTTTGGGGTTAAAAAGGCATTGAAGGAGGGGAAAGATTTCCACAAGCAGATATGGGTGCCGTGCTGGGTGTAGCAGCGTGGCCAAGGCTGGGGGTTGGATATCATGGAGCAGTAGGTGGTGGGGACTGGGTGCTTAGTCGGGGATGAAGTGGGAGGTTCAAGCCAGGCTGGGAGGGATCCGGCTTGCCAAGCTGAGCCCGCTGCTCTCAGTCAGATGGCACAGATTTCACTGTATTTTTCACTTTGATGTAAGAAACACAGTTACTAGAATTTTCCCACTTTCGAGCTTTCCCACAGACTTCCCACAAACATTCAATGTCAGCTCTGAAGGGCTTGTCGAGTCCAACGGCTCATTTCTTTTGGAGTTACATTTGCTGACAGCTGTGATTCTAACACAGGATGCTGTCCAGTTTTCTGCAAGTAAAATTGTGAGAATTCTGGAGACTAGAAGAAATGTGCCAGGATCTCACACAGTCCTATCAGTTTTCCAGTACTGATCACCTGTTTACAGATGTTGATGCCTTTGGAGTGGGTCTGGGATGTGAGTCATCTCAAAGAGCTAATCCAGAATCCTTCTCCCTCCTAACCATCCACCAGGCGGATGAAAGGGGGTGCTGGAGGCTTCCGGGTAGGGAATCCCACCATCTCATTTTCACCACCTTTTCTGCCACGGCTATGATTGATGCTTCCCTGTAACCCAGAGAAAGAAAAGAAAATGCCACTCCATCTCTCCCCCCACCAAGCCCCATAACTGATGCTCGCCCTGCACCATCTTTTCCTTCATGTGGCATCTACCTGTCAAATACTCTCCAGCAATAATAGCAAAAGAGACAGGAACCCTGGAGTGGCTGACACCAGCCAAGTTACTGCTGTGTTGCACGGCTTTGGCCAAGTTGTCTCCCTCTCTGATCTTCTCTGGATCTCTGGCCCACCATGGTCACTGAGCAGCTTGGCAGGCCCTGACTTTGCCCTTGGCTTCCACAGGCTGTGCACAGGGCAATGCTGAAGATGGATGAGAGGGGCACGGAGGGGGCCGCAGGCACCGGAGCACAGACTCTGCCCATGGAGACACCGCTCGTCGTCAAGATAAACAAACCCTATCTTCTACTGATTTATGACGAGAAAATACCTTCTGTGCTCTTCCTGGGAAAGATTGTTAACCCTACTGAAAAATAAAGGAGCAAGATAGACAAACCCTATCTGCTACTGATTTACGACGAGAAACTATCTTCCATGCTCTTCCTGGGAAAGATTGTTAACTCAATAAAGGTGAATTCCTGCTTGCTGCAGACTCTGAACATGGCTTGGGGCTAAACATGTTTCATCTTCCTTTGATGGAAGTCACAGGCATAGTCAATTTAGTCCCTCACCGTCACCATCTCCCTAGACTGCCCGAATGAGCAAAATTGCAAGTTCTAGGAACCCCTGTGCCCCGTTTCCTTCCTGCCCACTCAAATGCTGGGATTCAGTGCTCCACCCCCACCCACTTAGTGGCATTCTCCTCTCCCCTCCAGCAGGCTGAGGGACTTTGTGATTTAATAAACAAACGTTTCTCCTCACAGCCCTGCCCCAGGTTGACCAGCTGTTGGTGGGTAATTTGGGGAAGGTATGGGCCACAGAAAGTACCTGGAGTCTGGAGTAAGAGAGGAGTTCAAATCCCAGAACGAGGTATCTTTGGGAAAGCCACAAACCCTCTCTGAGCCTGTCTTCTTATTTCTGAAGTGAGAATCCTGCCCCTCCCTCTGGGGCTCTGAGGAAGCTAGCTCGGTGCTTTAGAAAAGTTGGTCCCCCCTCTGTGAGCCCTTGGCCAATTGTCCTCCCCAGGGTGTCCACGTGGGAGCTCTGGGCTCAGCCAGGCATCCAGGTGGATGGGGAAACAGGGGTGCGGCCAGTCCAGCCCCTCAGGCAGCATTAGAAGGATGAAATCTAGAGTAGCAGCTAGAACTTATCGCCAGCTCTGTCTATTTCAGGCACAAAGGAAGATCCCGGCACCCTTCCTTCCCTGCCTCCTCCCCATCTTGTCAAACGCAGGTCCTGAGGTTTAAACTTGTTAGCAAGTTCATTTGAAGGGTGAGTGGGGTCCCTGCGCCAACCCCAGAAAATGTGGCCCTGCAGGGTCACCTGTGGCCACTAGAGGAGGCCAGTACACAGGTTCAGCGCACACCAGGTGCTCACAGGGCCCTGCACAGGTTCCCGGCCTGGGGCAGGCTCGGTTCAGGCATCAGGTTCCTTCCTCTCCTGCAGGGAATTCCCACGGGTTCCGGTGTTTGGGGAGGAGAGATACTGGCTGGCTTGACACAGGGAAGCCTCGGCTGGCGCTGCTTATCATTTCCCCGGGCGTGTTTAGCGGTTTGCAGCTCATGGTGTCTTTTGTGTTCTGGTCACAGGTGCCTTCTGAGCAGCCAGAGTGGGTATCCCTATGACAGATGTGGAAACTGAGGCTCAGAGAGGTGAAGTGGATTCCTAGTGGCCTCAGGGTTAGCCACAGGCAGCAGGCACCCCATCTTCTGGTTTGGGGCAGGAAGGGAGGGGTCCCAGATGCTGGTGGAGAAGACCACCTGGGGCAGGGCAGGGCTTGTGGACAGAGATGAGGGCTGGGCCTGGGAGCCCAGAGTGCGCAGCCCCTTTTGGAGAAGGTAGGGGTCAGGGAGAAGGTTGAGAACCCGCACAGGGACACAGACCTGGGAAAAAGGCTGGGAATCCCGGCCAAGCCCTTTGCCGACATCATTTCCCCTGCCCCAGCCTGAGGGGTGGATATGGAAAGACACAGAAACCCTTAGCCACGGTCTCCAGTGCACAATAGATCACACTGGGGACGTGGCACTGCCAGGCAAGCCATTGAGTGGCCAGGTGACCTGGGCATGCCACTAAACCTTTCTGAGCCTCAGCCGCTTCATTTACTGAGAGAAGGTCATAATATCTACCTCCAGCAGCTAAGGTAGAGACTAATATCCTCTATCTACCTACCTACCTCTGAGGATCACGTGAGGTTGCAAGGCCGTCATGCCTGGCACGGGGGCATGCAGTAGACAGCCCCGGCCATGGTCCTCCACCGGCCCTCTCCAATGTCTGTGATGACCCAAATTTTCCCCAAACTCTGCCCTCCAGGCATTTGCTTCTGCCATCTCCTCTAATGGGAATTCCCTCCTCCAGCCTAACAAGCTCCTACTCACCCTTTAATACCCATTAGGACCTCTTTATGAACTCCTCTCTACCTTTTCAGCATCTTCCAAGAGGCTTCTTCTAAGCAGCCTTCCAAAACCCTCGCCTCCATGCTTGAGGATGGCGGGTGGGTCTGGTTCCCTCCAGCCCCATGTGGGCTGCAGTCAATCCTCCATTAAATGATGACTTCCGGGCTGCAATCTCTGAGCTCATTGTTGACACATGTAGACCAGCTCCTGGCTCCATGGGATTAATATTCAGTGGGGTAAGCCACCATGAATCCAGTAAACACACAGCTGTCATGAGCTGCAGTGGGCACCGTAAAGGAGACTTTGCAGAGCTTGCAAAGGGTGTCACAGAAGGGTCGTGTCCAGCCAGAGTGCCCAAGAAAGGCTTCCCCAGAATGTAATATTTGGGGAGAGCTCCAAATTCTGGGAACTCATCTGTTTTTAAACTGTAGTTAGGAATTAAAACTGCACATAGGGCTGTTTTTCCATCTTGATTAATAGTAAACGAAATACCGGTTGGTATTTCTAAGTATACTAATAGGAATCAGCCATATTCAAGTTCTTTATTCATCTTCCTTTTAACTAATTTTGTTTTTAAAATGACTGTTGCATATCCCAAATATTTTTAAACATCATTGTCTGCTTTCGTTGCCACATTTGTATTATTCACTGCAAAAATAAGTTCTATTTTGAAAAAGAAAAAAAGAGGAAGAAGTGAGGTTGGGAGCCCAAGGAGACCCCCCAAGCAGTGGGAACAGTTGTGCAAAGGCCTTGAGGCATGGGTGAGGAGCTGAAATGAGACGAGTGTTGCCAGAACAGCAAAGCAGGAAGGGGTGGGAGCAGGCTGAGAGGTAGGCGGGAACTTGTGGGCCACAGAGGGGTGCTGGTCTTTAATTGAAGAACTATGGCGGGCTGCAGCAGGTATGGGCAGCAGGTGTGAGAGTGGTCAGGCAAGCCTGTGTGCTGTGTATCCCTCTGCCTGCAGCCTAGGTGTCTTTGTATCCCCTGTGCCCAGGCCAGTGCATGCCACAGAGCACACACGCAGCAAGCGCTTGCTGGAAAAAACAAAAAACAAAAAACTACCCTGCCAATCACCCTTTCCAGACATGCCCAGCCCCCTCCAAAGCTCCCCTTTCCTCTGGGAGGAGAGTCACATGCCTTAGCCTGGCAGGTCTGCCCACTGGGATGTGGTCGTGCCTGCTCACCTGCTCCTTCTTGTGGGTCTGTGTGCCACCTCCCTACGTCTTCCCACCCTCCCCGGATGCTCTCCTTGCTTCTCATCCTCTCCCACTCCCACCGCCAGTGTCTTACTCAGTCTTCCAGGGAAGATCAACCCCTACTCCTTCTCAGAAGCCTCCCCAGGTCACATATTTGAGGGCTGACCGACCTTGTGAATAAATGAGCAAATGAATGCGTTCATTTTGATGTTGATGTAACCACCACTTCCTAGATGCCTATTGAAGCCTGGCACTGCACGGGTGCTTTCCCCGCCTCACTGACCCACAAGCCTTCCAGTTAGTGTGACCATCCCATTATACTGATGAGAAAATTGAGGCTCGGGAAGATCACATCACTTGCACAAGGTCCCACGGCCAGACAGCCACAGAACTAGGACCAAATACAAGTCCCCTGAGCACTTGTGGCTTTTATTTGTTCCATCACTTCATCCATCCATCCATCCATTCAACAAATATTCACTGAATATATTTTATTCACAAACTCCTAAAAGTCCCTCTCTGTCCCCACACAGAGAGGACACTCAGGGAAAGGAAAGGAAAGGAAAGGAGAGGGGAGGGGAGGGGAAAGTAGGAGAGAGGAGGGGAGAGTAGGAGAGGGGAGGGGAGGAGAGGAGAGGAGAGAAGAGAGGAGAGGGAAGGAGAAGAGGAGAGGCAGGAGAGGGGAAAGGGGGTAGGGAAAAGGAAGGGACAGAGGGAGGGAGGGAGAGAGAGGGAAGGAAGGAAGGAGAAGAAAGAGAGAAAAGGAAGAGAGAAGAAAGAAAGAGAAAAGAAAGAGAAAGAAAGAAAGATGGAAAGAAGGAGAAAGAAAAAGAAAGCAGAAAGAAAGAAAAGAAAGAAGAAAAAAAGAAAGAAGAAAAAGAAAGAAAGAAAGAAAGAAAGAAAGAAAGAAAGAAAGAAAGAAAGAGAGAAAGAAAAGAAAGAAAGAAAGAAAGAAAGAAGGAGACATTAAGTGGAGCGGGTAAGGGCGACTAGAGGTGCCAGTGGTGCTGGCAGGGGTCACAGCTGGCCTCCCTGCGGGGCTGAGACAGTGAGTTGTATGATTCTCCTCTTCAAGGTCTCTGCTGCGCAGTCCTCTGGAGCCTTTGGCCTGCGCGATGATCATGCAAAGGTGGACTCGACGCATAGGGGAGAGATTCACCCTAACCAAGAATGAAGGTGCCCAGTGTCAGAGGCCCAGGAGAGACAGGCTGCCGTGGTGTGGTCCAGCTTGACCTCCTACACGAGGCAGAAAGCCTCTGTGCAACTTTCAAGCAGGAGGCTTTCTGCCTCTTCCAGCAGGGGTTGGGTGCCAGGACTCTGGTTTCCCATCTGCCCCCACTCTGCCTGTAGCATCACCTGCCTGGGCTGAGGTCATTCTTGTGGGCACATGACAAAAGTGACAGACTGGTGTGTTGGCAAGGGTGATAACAGATGGGAAGTCCTAGTTCCTGGCCCTGCTTTTCCCAGACACTGACCGTGTGGCTGGAGCAAATACCTTCTTCTTCATGGGTGTACACTGCCCATTTGCACAGTGATGAGGTTGCCCTGGATGCCCCCAGAAGATCCTTCTATTTTGGGCAATACTTTGATGCTCACATGGGAAATGATAGAACTGGCTCCAAAGTTTTATGAGTAGCAAAATGCATTTGTTTAGTTAATAATGCATAATAATAATAATAGTAAAATGCATTTGTTTAGCCAATAAATACTTACTGGGAATCTACTGTGTGCCAGGCATGCTTTCCGGGGATGGAGAAGCCAGGGTGGACAGGAGAGACAGAGACCTGGTTCAAGCAGAGCTGAGGTCACATGGCTTGCTTCCTCCCCATCTCCCAGTGTCCCCTTCAGAACCAGCCAGGAGCATGTTCCTGGCCCTGCTGGGTCACCATGTCAGTGCTCAGGGTTTTCCACAGGG